ATGCATTCAAGAATCTGGTTAACGATCTCAATGAACTGCAGCAACTGGACGATCAGGAGCAGCTGGCCAACAAGCGCAAACAAATCAAGCAAAAATTTAACGAGCTGCTTGATCCTAGCAATCTTCAAAAGTTCATGTACTCTTTGCACATCGTCGAAAGCCTGGCGTTGAGTAGCGGTCCGCGGCAAACTGGTGCTTCCGTTGGTCCTGGTGGGGCTGGCGCCAATGGCAATCTGGCTACTAGTGAGCAGCCTCGCATCAAAAAGAGCGCAAACAGACGGCATAACAGCAACGAGCAGCCGGCGGAACCGAAACGCAGCAGCAGCAGCAGTGACTGCAGCAAAGAGCAGGTGGGCGGCGACCTGGAGGCCACGGTTACTTCAGCACCACGTTCTGGCAGCGACGCAGATATTAGCGAGTTGGTCGGCGGCGACAAGGAAAACCAGCCGAAACAGCACAGTAAACGGCAGAAAAAGATCGATGGCCTTGACCAGGACCATCCATTGGGCTGTGCCACACCGCCACCACCTTCGCCAGCATCCACATTACCAGCTACACCAGGGCGCAGTGCGCTGGTTGGCGAGAGTAGCAAGTGGAGCGAAGCATTTATCAAGTGCGGCGGGCTGCAGCATCTGTACGAGATCTTTAGTGCCGGACAGCTGCAGCAAAGCGCGCATGCCAAAGAGCTTGCGCTAAACGAATGGCGTCATGATTGCTTGGCCAGCCTATTGCGCATTCTTTGGTTGTTGGGCTTCGAGGAGCTACAGACACAGGATGTGCACGTACTGATGTCGCGACCACATGCGTTCATGCTGCAGCTAATGGAAGTGCCCCAGTGCCTACAGCGTCTGTCCAGCATACTTAACGATGAAGTCCATCAACATTTGTCAGCCGGCGCCACTTCACTGGTATTCCCATATCAGTTTCATCAACTGCGGACTGGTTTCTGGGGACGTGCACAGCTGGTTCAGTTTACTATGAACATTCTGGTGAGTTTCGTGCATGCTTCAGCAGAGGCGCGTAGCTTACTCTGGTCTCAGCCGGAACAATGTAATTGGCTGCAGAAGTTCATACTGGAAGACCCAGAGCCGGCGGTGCGTCGCGAAATTTGCGCCGGTCTCTATCGCATCTGTTTGGGTAATGCGCAAAGTTATCGCCTGCTGTTGGCTCCTCTGCTGCACAAGCTTATTGCATTGCTGCCACGTGCCGAGCAAATGAGTTCTTCAGTGCAGCACACCCAGTTCTTGCTTTCTGAAGAGGGCAAGGAGCCATATGGACCAGCTTGTCGGGATTATTTTTGGCTACTGGCGCGCCTTGTTGACACTTTGACGCCCGAAATGGTAGCCGAGGAGCGTATCGATATCGAGTTGCTATGCGAGAGCGTTTCGGAGAGCATTCTCAACCGCGACTACCACGAACTGCGCCATGGCTATCAGGATGATGGATTAGTGGGCTTACTCAATCTCATGTCCAATCTAATTAAGTACGACACTAGCTACAAATACAGGCCCAAGGCATTGAGCTTCATTGAGCAGCTAATCGAGTTCCTGTTCGAAATGCCATCTCCAGCTAATCGCCAGAAACCCAAATGCAAATCAGCTACTTCCCGTGCGGCTGCCTATGATCTGCTGGTGGAGCTGTGCCGCGGCTGTGCCACCAATTATAGCTACCTGCACGCTCGGCTGCTGGCGCAGCACAGGTCCGGTCCGAAACAGCCATATCCTTGGGATTATTGGCCACGTGACGAAGGTCGTGCCGAGTGTGGCTATGTGGGCCTAACAAATTTGGGAGCTACCTGTTACATGGCCTCCTGCATACAGCATCTATATATGATGCCACAGGCCCGAGCAGCTATTTTGCGACTGCCGCCAGCCGGCACCCAAAAACATGCGCCGACGCTGCTGGAACTGCAGCGCATGTTCGCATATCTGCTGGAGTCGGAGCGCAAAGCTTATAATCCCCGCAGCTTCTGTCGCGTGTATCAGATGGATCATCAGCCCCTCAATACGGGCGAGCAGAAGGACATGGCTGAGTTCTTCATTGATCTGGTGTCTAAGCTAGAGGAAATGACGCCAGATCTAAAGCATTTGGTAAAGCGTTTGTTTTGCGGCACTTTAAGCAACAATGTCGTTTCTCTGGACTGCGGTCATGTCTCACGTACCGCTGAGGAGTTTTATACAGTCCGGTGCCAAGTGGCGGACATGCGAAATTTGCAAGAGTCGCTCGATGAGGTGACTGTAAAGGATACGCTTGAAGGGGACAACATGTACACATGCTCGCAGTGTGGCAAAAAAGTGCGAGCTGAAAAGCGTGCTTGCTTCAAGAAACTGCCTCAGATCCTGTGTTTTAACACCATGCGGTACACCTTCAATATGGTGACCATGCTGAAGGAAAAGGTCAACACGCACTTTTCGTTTCCATTGCGACTCAACATGTGTCACTACGTAGAAAAGACGCTGATGCCGCAGCAATACAAGGAGGATCGCGAGAAACGCAAGCGTGAACTTCAACAAAATGAGAATGATGAGGGGGCTGAGAATGAAAAGGCTGAAGCCACACTAGACGCAGACATCGAGGAGTGCTATGAGTAAGTGGCTTTATTGGGTATTATCTGTAAGTTTAATTTAAAACACTTGTTGATTACAGGTACGAATTGGTTGGCGTTACAGTGCACACAGGAACAGCGGACGGTGGGCATTATTATAGCTTTATTAAGGAGCGCACGAAAAGCAACTACCACCCGCACGAGCGTTGGTTCCTGTTTAATGATGCTGAGGTCAAGCCTTTCGATCCCTCGCAAATAGCGGCCGAGTGCTTTGGTGGCGAAATGACGGTAAGCACTCGCGCTAAATATTTAACCAGATATTTATTAAAAGTCCCTATTTCAATGTTAATTTTTTTCATTTTATAGAGCAAAACCTACGACTCAGTGACTGAAAAGTATTTGGACTTTAGCTTCGAAAAGACAAACTCAGCGTATATGCTATTTTATGAACGTCGCTTACCAGAGCATCTGCAGCGTCGGCACTCGGAACTTCTGGCCACGCCAACGCCAAGTCCCACTAATGAGGATAAGACAGAAACGGAAGAGCAGCCCAAGGTGGAGAAGGTCAATATAAATAAAAGTGATCTGACGACAGCGGACATTGCAGACTCAGTTAAAGCAGAGCCAGAGCAAGTGACTCCGATCAAGAACGATGTTGAAAATTTGCAGGAGGACAAACAAACCGAAGAGCAAGACGAGACTGAACAGAAGGGAGGGAGAGGAATGGATCAAATTACAGCCAATTGTGATAATTTAAAGTCGAATAGTAAAGAAACGCAGGCGTCAACCTCAAAGGCGGCCGTCGTCGTGGAAGCAAAAGTGTCTAATAAGCTACAACAGTTTCGTCCATTGTTGAGCAAGGAGCTAGAAGATTGGATTTGGCAGGATAACCGACAGTTCTTGCAAGATCGAAATATCTTCGAGCACACCTACTTCAAGTGGGTATACAAATACTTTCAACAGCCGACAGTTGTTTTAAGCCTTCTGTTTTAGCTTCATGTGGCAAATTTGCGGTCACATACCACAGACGTTAATCTCGGAGACTGACGTCACTTGCATGGCCGCTAAGTTGTCCGTGTCATTTTTCATTGAAACATTCATACATGCCAAGGAGAAGGTAAGCATTACAAATTTATCTCAACCTCTTGACATTTGCCTAATGTAAGACCCTTGCCCTTCACATAATGCATTGATATTAATAAATTTCATTAAAATTTGTTAACTTTCAGTAGAACACCGTGATCAGCGATTTACAAAGTTTATTGTCTTATTTTTTATACATATTATCAAATGATCTAATTTATCCACTTGAATTTACGGGTTTGACCGGTTAAGTTTTCTTTCGCCTTAATGTGAGCTGTAATTTTCTAAGAAGAAAATCTCAATCAATGTGTTACTTTAGACAAATGTCATTATATAGGATTAACAAATGCAAATCCCAAAATCATTGTGACATTATTTCCATTCTACAGCCCACCATGGTTCCTTGGGTAGAGCTGCTTACAAAGCAATTCAACGCCAGTGAAGAGGCTTGCGAATGGTTCCTATCGCATATGTCGGTTGAACCTTTTTGGCCTGTGCAGGTGCTAATTCAATGCCCAAATCAAATGGTGCGTCAAATGTTTCAGCGTTTGGTCGTTCATGTTATACAGCGGCTGCGGTAAGTTTCTTACTGAGCATTTGATCGAAATTCGACTTCAGATGAATATGCTTATTATTGCTTATAGCGCGTCGCATGCTGATCTGTATCTGGGTGTGGATACAGACGAAAATGACAGGGAGCTGATTGGTCAAGCATCATGTGTTACACGTTTTATAAGCTCGCTAATTTCACTGCTGGAACATGGAGCGCGCTCTCATCTGCGCCATCTATCCGAGTACTTTAGCCTGCTGTGTGAGTTCTCGCGCATGGGAGATGAAGAAGCCATGTTTTTGTTGCGCATCGGCGTTCTCAAGAGCCTGGTTGATTTTTACCTGGGCCATAAGCAAACAGATAGTGTTAGTTGGCAAGAAGAAATGTTGGAGCTTCTACTTTAATTGCTTATTTATATTACAGATTGACATCAGCTCAGACAATGAGGACAACTCTTCAGATGAGGCGCTCTCAGTAGAAAAAATGCGTCCAGCATCGCTAGACAAAATGATTGCACTATGTGCTAGTCTTGTCGAACGTTCGCGAGGCGCTGATTTTCGATTGCGTCTTTCGCCCAAAGACTTCAATGCCATTGCCGGTGGAAAGGTGATACTGAAAAAGCTCGAAAGCGTTATATATTCCATCTAATCAAACATTCAAGCACCACTACATCGTCTAACCATCAAATATCAATCCATAAATCCACCAACAAACCAATCCAATGTCTAATCCTATAACCAATTGTTTTGCTTTGTTCATTGCTTATGTGTTATATATATTTATTTCACATATATTTCGTAGGGTTTTCCATTTTTGTATCAACAAATAAAGGATGGCATTAATCCGCACCAGACAAAGCATTTAATCCACGCGCTCTGCCGCTGGGACGATCGTTTGGCTACACAAATCATCAGTATGCTCTTCGCCTCGGTCACCAAACACACTGAGCTCTGTGCACCATTCTTCAAGTTGCTGACACTGCTCACCGAGACACAGGGCGGTCCAGTTGGCCTGCCCTGTTTTACGCAGCTGGTGCTGCCACGAATGTGGGATGCGGCAGAGTACTGTCCACAATCTGTGCTTGACTGGCTGTCGCTGCAGGCCACCAAGAATAAAATAGCGCATGCCTGGATTCTTCAGTCCGCCGAGCAATGGCTGGAACAATTTTTACTCGCGCATGATAATACGCGCGTAAGAAATGGTACGAAATGGCTAACCAGTACATGTTTGGGCGCTATATTTTAGTTTTTATTCATATTGTAGCCGCTGCCTGCCTGCTGGTGGCGCTGGTGCCCTCCCAGCCGTTTCGTGCCAACTTCCGCGCTCACTCGCAACATAAGTTGTTGGCTCTCAATCCGCACAGTTATCGGTAAATGCAGCAGCTTAACTGATAAGCAGCGTCATAAACTTTTGTTTTTCTATCCCCTTGCAGGGACATCAACAGCGATGCCCAGGTGGTGCTGCATCAAGTGATAACATTGCTACTGCGGCTACTGCGTCCAGCACGCGCTTATGCAGACATAGGGGCACATGGTACTACCAAGCTGACCGCCTATTTTAATCTACTCAGCTACTGTATGGTTTCTAAGACTGAAAAACTAATGGCAAGTTTGGAAACACACATGCATACAGCTTTCTGCACATCTCTGCTCCGATCGCAGCTAAATTTGTTTCTTTCGCCAACAGATAGGTTCATTTATGCGCTCCCTATGGGAGCTGTTTCACCCGCGCCTCTCTGAGCCCAGTGTGCCGGCGCATCACAACAAACATGCCTTGCTCACCTTCTGGCATCACTCGCTTGTCGACTGCCCAGAAAATGCGGCCCTGGTGGCCAACTGCCCGGAGATAACGCGGAACATTGCATTTAACTATATACTGTAAGACATTCGTAGTGGGCACGGTTTCGCTTTAACAATCTGATATTCCCATGCAGTGCCGATCACGATGATTCAGAGATTGTAACTTACAATCGGTCCATGCTTCCGGCCTACTATGGACTGTTGCGTTTATGCTGCGAGCAAAGCCGGACACTCACCCGACAGTTGGCGCAGCATCAAAATCTACAATGGGCCTTTAAAAATATAACGCCACATCCCACACAATATGCTGCCGCAGTAGATGAGCTATTTAAACTAATGGCACTTTTTGCTACCCGCCATCCGGATGCCAGCGAACAGGAGAAACTGGATGTCATAGCTTTTAGACGCTCCGTCATTGTATCTTATACAAGCAGTTTGGATGCACGCGTGTCTTGGTCTACCCTGATTAGCGCCCTGAAAATACTCGGTAAGATTTAATTAACAGCCGATAGTAATAGGTATAGTTTTCTTAATTTTAAAAACCGAATATGCCTTTTCCAGCTAGTTTGCTTAGATAACCAGTCTAGAATCTATTTGATTTAAATTTTAATTTTTCACCCAATGAAAGTTGGTTTAAAAAAAGATGTTGGGTATGTAACAGGCAGAAGGCATCTGCTTGAGAGTATACAAATATATCTATCAAGAGCATCCACAACCGTTTGTGAATGTGTGATATATATTAAAGCTATGATAGCAATTAAACTTTGCAACGTCTTATGCAATTCTTATGAGGTTTTTAAATACATGTTCCGAATGTGCGTCATTGAGCTGCAAAGCTAAAGAAGAAATCGAATAATTTCTATGTCATATTAAAGTTAAATTCAAGAAAAAACTCGCAAAACTTTCATTAATGAAAAATTGACTGAATATATTGATTGGTTTAGCCATTAAGTTTCGACATGCATCGATTTTGAAACAAGGCTTTGTATGCAAAACTCGGAAATGATGAACTCCAGTCAAATCTAATTTGTAAGATTAAGAACTTTCAGTTTTACTTATTTAAACCTCTTCCGTTCTCTTCAAAGTTAAATAGGTCACTCTTTAAAGCTGTACATACATTAAGATGTTGTATTAAAACCCTGCTAAAACATGATTAGTTGGGAGCATCCGACTATAAAACTATTTCAATGCTAAATAGTTAAATCCACCAAATTTAATATGTTTTTTAATCTACTCTTCATTTTTGTTTTTGATTTCCCACACGCAGTGGACAACGACGATGATCGCATGCTGGTCATTTTCAACGGAGGCATTGAGATGTGCTTTGAGGCGTTGCACACGCTACATTCCATGCACCACGAGGCCACTGCCTGCCATGTGGCTGGGGATCTATTGGATCTTCTTGGAGAAATGGTGCTTCTGCTGGCGACGCTGCGCATGCGTACGGATAACCCTGCGCAAAAAAAGCAACAACAACAGCAGTTGGAACAGCAAATGCAACTGCAGCAGCAACAGATGTTGCAAAAACAACAGCAGACGCAGTGTACTCAAGCCCCACAGACGCCCCAGCAAAAAGAGAAGCAGCTACAGCAGCAAATGCAGCAACATCTGCAATTACAGCAAATGCAGTTGCAGCAACAGCATTTTCTGCGCCAACAGCATCAGCACTCGGCGCTGGCAAAGGCGCTGCCTGATGCGATCAAGCGACTAGCTACGCTGCTTAACACATTTAACTCGCCGGAGATTAGTCGTATGGCCCTCGAGGTGCTCAAGGAGCTAGTGCGCAACACTAGCCTGGAGGCCACCATCATTCTGGCGCCCATTCTGATCAACTGCCATTTGTCCGTGGCCAATGCACCAAATGCAATAGGCCCGTTAGGACCTTATTTTCCACGTCGCGGTGCAAAGCAGACGTCCTGGCCGTTAGGTGCCAAAAATTCACCTCGACCCCCAAGGCCAATGGTGCAAATGTGCATTGCTTCGTCGGAGCTGACGCCACGCGGTCTTGATATCGAGTACGATGCACAAGTGGACGGCTTTTACAGGCCCTATCATGATTTTATCGACGTCATGATGCGCATGTGCGTCAATACAGGCACCCTTAACGATACCCTGGTCAAGCTTCACTGCCTGGTGGCCATAGAGTCAACACCGTTGCATTTCAACTACTTTCCTAAGTTCTGGGTGGGCATCCACAACAATGCGTTAACACACAAGTAAGCCTGACATTTCATACTTTTATATTTTTATACCCTGAACCCATTAAAAATATGTAAAAGGGGTATAATGTATTTGTGCAAATGTATGTAACAGGCAGAAAAACGCATCTCCGACCCCATAGAGTATATGTATTCTTAGTCAGCAATCCTCAGAACCTATTAGATTGACTTCGGAAGACTTTCCGAAGAGTTTAGGAGCCTAAGCGGAAAGATCCGCTTGTTTATATTATTTATTCATTTATTATTAAATAATCGGTATAATTATAATATTTGCCAGTCTGGCCAGCTATTTTCCTATTGACATACGGCTAAGCAGAAATGGAAGAAAAACATTATATAAGAATGAAGAATAATTTAATTACCTTTATTTAAGAAGGAAGAGAAATAACTTGAGAAAGTTAAGATATGGAAGAGAATAAGGAATATCGAATATCTTTACCTTAAAACGGAGTTAACAATAATAATTTTAAAATATATTAAATAAATAAGAAGAGGTAACGGTAGAGGATAGAAGGGATATCAGTGATCGGATTGGCGGACATTTCTTATCTTGTCCGGAAAGCTTTACTCCTCACAGATGGGCTATGTAAAAATAAGTTATCATCAATCTGAAATTCGTTCGAATTTTATTATTTACCTTTCAAAACGTTTTAGTTTAATCAATATACCTCATTAAGCTATATGATATATTGAAGTCTATATATATATGTCAATTTTGCTTTCAGATATTCGGAGCTGCTTGTGAAGAATCAGCTGCTAATAGAGTATCTGCATAATGTGCTCAGAGACGAGCGCAGCATGCTAAAGGATGCATTTGTGCGGGAATTTTTGGAGTTGTATTACCACAAAGTGGCAGCACAGCTTCCTGTTGCGCGAATGATCTACACGATTAACTATGGCATGCACTCTAAGGATGACATTGACGAGCTGTGCGGCGATCTATTTGCCATACGTATTATTGCTCAAGCTACTGGTGTCCCGACTTCGGTGCGCAAGGAGCTGCGTGGATCATTACGGGCCCTGCTTAACAAGAGCGAGCGTTTTAAGAAGGATGCGGAACGAGGTGATACACAGATTTAGATGAAGGGCATTCAATAAATATTATACATATTTGTTTTTTGTAGATCAATTTCCGAACAAGAAGCTGAAACGGGACTCCTGTCAGGAAAAGGAACACTCGCAACCGGCAGCGCGATCGGAGCCGGAGACAGTAGACAATTCGACTGAGAAAGAGAAAGCCGAATCAGTCGATAAAGCTAGCATTGTCGATGGAACTGCGGATACGCCCAGTGGAACTGTTGATGCTGTTAAATCTGTTGAAACTGTTGCGGAGACTGAACCAGCGGCATCCGCTGATTACGTAGATGTACGTATCGAGAGCCCAGAATCCGAGAAGCTAGAGAAAGCATCGATTCCCTCGTCGGACGATGAGACTGAGCTGGAGGATGAATTGGAGCCTACGCCAAAGCGCAATAAAAAATCGGCAAACAAAAAAACCGCACAAGATCGTGTTAACGAGGATCGCAAGAGGCGTCTAAGCACCTTGCTCACTATGGAGTCGTACATACAAAGCATTTTTACCATTATTAAACGGGACGCAAATGCATCTAGCGCGGCGCAAAACAAAGAACACCCCAGTGATGAGTTTGCAGTTGAGGCGTCTACATCAGCAGCTGCAGCAATCAAGTCAAAGCCTAGGGGTGCGTCTACGCCTCCAGAACCCGAGGACGATGGGCTGCAAGGCAAATACAACATTGAGACGGACACAGTAGTGTGTTGCAAATCCAAGTTAAATGGCAGGGAGCAGGAGATTGCCAAATTCGATGAACTGTCGCCTGCAACTGCGGTTGTCAATAGCAACGTTCCCGCAGCTGCCACCAGCTCAGTGGCTGGCGTTGCGTCAGCGACACAGGCAGCGAGTCCAACACAAATTTAGTTGTCGTTTAATGATTTGCTGAGCATTTTATTTTTCGGCAAGCCATTGGACTGATGACACGCAACATGTGGCGATCACACAATGGCTAAGCTCTAAGGTACTGCGAATTTTTGGCCAAAGGTCGAAAGTTGCATTGAATGATTTGAACCAAGGTTGCTGCTTGCTTTGGGCGAGCCTGTGCTCCAGTAAAAGACTTTTGAGCAAGAGAATTATACTAAATTAAAGTTAATCTAGCAACATATTAAATCGGAAACAGATAAATTCAACTCACACTCAGACAAACACTCCCACATCCACACACCCACATATACATTGATTCAACATGCCAGTGTCACACACATACACACACATATATATACATATATATATATATATATATATATATATATATATATATATATGTAATGCATGCATTAACATACATAAACATATATGCATGCATACAGCTAGAAATAATGATAAACGTTACTATTTTAAGACTTCCACGACCGCAAATTGTCCAAATCATAAAAAAAACATTATTCCCATTTGAAAATGTTAGTTAAGTGAAAAGTTTAAATATTATATCATTGCGTGAACCTTGTTATGCACTACGAATGCCAAAAGCAAAAGCATTATAAGCAACATAGGAAAAGAAAAACAATAACTGATAATGAAATGAAACGAAGAAAATGAGTTGAAAAACGGCTTATGAGACGCTAATATCTATATATGTTGTAGTAGAACCTTTAGATATGTTTTACGCTGCTAATTATATTTGGTTTAGTTTCCTGTCATGTTCGCAGTCGCTACCCATCCTCTCCCTATTCATGTGCACTATAACTGTATTTTAGACACAAATGAACAGATATTATATAATTAACCAACTTTATTAAAATAAAAGAATGTGTATCAATTTTCATTGTAAATTGCTGAACGATACGAATTAAATACATTTTACGTTCTTTAGTTCATGTGAGAATAAATTGTAATTACGCACATAAGTCTAGTAAGTTGTCTATGTGAAACATAAAGGACGAAGCTTAAAACCCATCCCTTTAAAGGGGCGCATAAAATGTTAGTCTTAAGCCACAGCAAACGATCGAAATCTTAAATATGTAATGTTGAAAAACAAAAGAGAATCATAAGCAAATAATAAAAAAAAATGCAGCATATAAGTTTAAATCATATGTAATTACATATTAAATCTCCTCTTATCTCAGATAGTCAAGATTAACCATTTTTGAATCTTCCAGCCTTTTAAATCAAAATTTTCACTAGTATTTAGGCTATCTATACATTTGTAGAGCACACTGTGTGTTCTGATCCTGCTTAACTGACATCTGAATTTGTCAATATCTTTATGTATCTGCACGCTAAGGCAAAGTTTTGGAACTAAATTCCAGTAAGTATTGAAAATGGTTGGGTTTCCAACTGAATTTCAAAGATCGCAAGAAACCAGGAGCAAATATTTTAAAATTTGATTATACTCTAAAATTATTTTCAAATACCTACGTAAAATTTCACTTTAAACGCGACTTACTACAGAAAATCTGCGTAGCTAAGTGGAAGTGAAAGAGTTTTAATTCTTTTAATTTTAAAAAGCCATTGGTATTGTTATATTTAAATGATCAAGCAAGGTCGGATACATATTTGAACATTTATAAAGCGCTAAAGATGGTGGTAAAAATAATCTGTCTTATAAGAGGACTTGTTCATCTTATCGTTAATAATTTAAAAATTCCCCTCGCTAAAAAAACTGCAAAAAATCTTGATCATGACCTCGAAAGGGGTTTTTCTCATTAAGACTTGACCGCTCCTATGACAGAGTTTTCAGGAAAAGCACAGCATGCTTAACCTTTCCCATTTCCCATCACAATAGCCAAGGTTCCCCATATCTTCTATAGACCATATCTACGTATAACCCGACTGCTTTTTATTGCTTATTTCATAATGGACTTTTGTACAAACTTTAGTCTCTACTCTCACCTGCATAGTTAATTCGTCCGTTCTTTTGTGAAAAGTCGTTCCTTTCCTAATTCTCTGCATTGTTGCGTACGCGCCGCAGGGTAACATTTTCTTACTTTACTTAGTTTACTTTACTTTACTTTACTTTCTAGCCTATATCCACAATACTAGAACGGGTTCTGGATCCTGGGGGGGTCCTATACCTAGTGTAAAAATCGGATATCGGTATCGTGTTCTGGGATACTGCCTGCCGAAGAAGGGTTTCGGGTTTTCGCTGGTATGTGCGAATCGAATATTTTACTAAGATTGGGTGTCTTCAAATTGTGTTCACCATAAGAATACAGTCTTGTTTTTAAACTGACCGCAAATATGTGCCGACGAAGGCTTAAAAGACTACACCTACCGAACTGATTCTGTAGGGAAATTTCGAGGCACTAGATTAACAAAGAGACACATTTTTCTTAACCTGCTTCCGGCCCGGTTAGACACCATCACCCTATTATTTAATAAAAAAAATTGTAAATTCGATATTTGGCTATATGTAAGCTTGCTTGAATATGAAGATATTTATAAAAGTTTAAATATTTTATGCCTACGGTCGAAAATTACAAAGAACATTCAAAATTACTTTAAATTACATGTAACCCAAAGTATTTGCAAAGTCTTACAAGATGTTACCTTAACAAATAAAAGTAAGGTTTTTTATTTTGGGATTGGCTCATCAAACGTATTGGATAAATTACTCGGACACTTCCTTCTGCAGAATATTCTTCCGAGGCGCTAGTTTCAAGATGCAGTTGAATGACATTTAAAATCGGAGAACAAATAGTTTTGAATCAAACCCGCAGTGCCTTCTAGCAATGCGTTACCTTGTAATTTTTGGCGCTGGACCTCCTATTGTACAATAAGATTGAGTATATGTTAATCATAAATCATCTGTCGGAGATCGCCTTGCTCTAGACCCTGGTAATAACGTGTTTTTTAACTGCCTTTTATGCGGATTATCATTCGCTCGATGATTCGACGATTACATGTTGAATTCAACCCTCGAACACTTATTGTTTACACGCATGCGCTGCGAAAATTGTCAAATGTATATATAAAATATATAGAAGTAAGCTCAGATTTCACAAACAGTATTTGTATACCGAGAAAAAGAACAACTAATTTGTGAAAAATGCCATGCGTCGGATGTGAAAAGGGTAAAATATTATTTAATCCTAGATTTATATATTAGAAAATTGCCCAATCAAATACTTCACAGAATGCAAATGCACCGCAGAGAAGTGCTCTGAGAGCTGTAAATGCAGCGCGCCTGGCAAATGCGGCTGTAACCCATCCAAATCAACCGAAACCTCGAGCGGCGGTTGCTGCAAAAAAGTTGAGGGTGCTGGCGAGAGCAAAGTAGAGCATGAGTGCTGCAAGAACGCCAAGAACTGAATTAAGAAAGATGAATATATTGTAAAAGAACCAAATCGATGTATTTTGCTTCATTTGATGAAAATATACCTGCTAGTAAGCTATGTATTTGTCATCATTAAACATAATCAAAATGTTATTACTATACATTTAACAATAACTAAATGAACTAAACTATCGTATAAAATAAAATACCTTTACCAAAATGGGGTTTTTTTAGATGGCAATGATTCAGCCTAATTTCTAAAGTTGAATAATATGATGTGTACGTTTAACAAACGAGCCAACAACGTGCATTTTATTTAATTTGTACATTGCTAAATTGCTTACACTTTTCTACAGCAAAAGGTGCGTGGGGCAAGAATTAGAATTGTTCACATAAACGAGGGGCAGATAAAACATGAAAATTAAACAAGTTTAAATTCGTTAGCAATTTCTTTATATTACAGCGTTAAAGATCGGGTCTCATGATTTCTTTTTCAGTAGAGGTACATATAAATATGCATATAAAAAACAATTTAAAATTTGATTTTCAACAAATACGAGCCACTTACTAATTATATTATTATATATAGTTATATATTACTTCGCGCTGCACTGAGCTAAAAAATTAGTGTATGCAATATAAAAAAACAATATTCCTTTTAGGGCAATTAATTACTAAATTTTTGTTTCTAACCATTTAGGGCTTAAATTTATACAAATTAAACGACGACATTTCAAAAGTTTATAAACGCGGCCAACGGACAGGGACTTCATTAATTGCGCTTTGATTTACGCTTTTTGCGACTGTTTGAGCCGGCTGTTAATGAGTTGGAGACGGAGCAGCTGGTCGATGTCTGGGGCTGAGTTGGTACTCCGCTTAACTTGCCCCAAATGCTGTTTAACAAGTTATAACTGTTTCTCTTGTTTGTTTTGCACGTAACGTTGTTGTTGTTGTTATTGTTGTTTGTCGATTGCGGCTGGTGTATCCCGGGAGGCGGCTGCGTTTTGTATTGTGCGACTTGGGCGTATTCTCATGAGCGCTTTACCTTGCCATTGACCGCATTGGCTGGCGAACGGCTGCCGCTAGCACTGCCACCACCGCCAATGGCCGCCTCAGCCGCATGCGTGGCCACATGTTGAATGCCCTTCTCCATGCAACCTTGATAGATTGGACGCATGAACTGTAAAAAATTGAAACGGAATACTTAATATAAATATCATGTGAATGAATTCGTTCCCTTATTACTTACATTCTCCCACATGAGAGTTGCAAATTCGTCCAGCTTGCCACCAAAGTCGCTTAACTCACCGCTATATCTGAGGGTATGGCAAATGGATTGAGAATTAGTTTGGGACTCAGTTGTTGAGTTTTCAGTTGCCGATACCCACCTAATGTACGCCCAGAGTGCCAGCGTTAACAACGCTACACCCATGACCAGATTGCAGAAGTTAGCAAATGTATAGAGTCCTACCAGTCCAAAAATGCCGCTAACTATATACATGATGACTGCGCAGGCAAAGTACACGGCCGGCGTACGTGCCGCCTTGAATATGTTTTTGCTTTCATTGTGTGCTCGATAGTTGACGAAGACCTCCTCCAGATCAGAGTCCAATTGGAGGCGGAACTTCTCCGTGAACTCCTCGCCACCCATTTTTCGTTTTGTGGCAAATTGAAATAGCGCCTTGTCCTTGACACGCAAATGTTCCGTTTCCAGGTGTGCAGTGCTTAGGTAAGGCCGCGTGCCGCCACACACTTCCTCCATGAGCTGATTGTACAATTCCTTGGCGGCCGCGACAGCAGTCAAGTGATTCGCTTCGGCCGTGGCCACCAGCATGCTCTTCGGCTCAGGCAGTTCGTTGCCCTTATAGATGCTCATGTACGATTGGAAGTACTGAATAAGATCACGGGCTCTAACGCGTTGCCCACTTATCTCCTTGTAGACCAGATTGTCAGGTGCCAACAGCATAGGAACCAGCGTTCGTAGACTGTTCTTGAACTCGGGCGTAATATCCTTAAGACGGCCATCGAACTGTGGATTTGTGGCAACATTGAGACCAGGATGTGGCATCAGGAAACAGGCCACCTCAGTGAAGCACGATGAAATGTGTCGACGCAATGACTGCAGTTCCGGGTGTTGTTTGTCGGAGACTTCGAGCCGACGCTTAAGTATCTTGTCTCCCCCTAAAGCACCGTACTCCGCCTCGTATGGGAAGCTCCAGTCACGCACCAAAAACTGTAAACGCTGGAATGGCTTCTTGCCGGTGTCGGCCAGCGCCAGGCGGCCGTATTCGGTGAACAGCTGCAGGTGCTGCAAGTCGTCCTCCTGGATGTTCTGTGAGAGATTATATATCTGCACCGAGGACAGCATCGTGCTAAGCGCAAACACTGTCGCACAGTCGCGTACGGTGCTCTGGCTATCGAAGGCACCCTGTGTATCCAGCAAAATAATAGCAATCTTGTCGCCATTGGGATAATCGTGCAGGAATATATCGGACCACATTAGTATGCCGGTTGTATCGCGCTCCGATCCGCCGCGCCATGAGAAACCCGACAGGGGTTCGGACTCATCGCCCAACCAGTCTGTGACGTCGTGTCGCACATACTGAAAAACTTTGTTGATTAAAAAGCTTAAAGACATATATATCTACTCACTATACCTTTGAGTACATGTAGCGAAGAAAGAAGTCTAGCAGAAAGCTTTTGCCCTTGCGGAAAGCACCCGCTACGGACACCACGCAAACGTAGCGATCCTTGACCTCCTCCCGCATTAGCACCTCACTGAGCGCATCCTCGTTAAGCACAAATGTGTGCTCCTCGGATGCATTGATCACCTGCACTGCCGAGCCGCCAATTGCTGTCCTCTCCATGTGTAAGCTGAGTATATTGGTGTGTGCGTGTGTACGTGTGTGCGTCTGTGCTTTGTTTTCCAACTTTGGTTTTCAATGTTAATTTGAAGTACTGCAAAAAGAAACACAATGAAACAAGTGAAAGATTTAATAATAGTTGCTTTGTAAACGGCAAGTAGATGCTATATACAAATAGAAAGCTATATATAAATATATATATGTATATGCACATATTTATATATAGATGCTATCCTGTCAGTTCACAAGCGGCAACTGAATTGAACTAACGGTTAATTGCGCAAGTTCTATTCAATTGCGTGAGTCTGGCTGTGTTTTTTTTTTTTAATTTTGGCATGGGTGCTGGCATAACGTGTCAGGCGGCCTGCAATTATGAAAGGTGGCCAAAAATAAATTTGACTCTGCGCTAGTTTGCTTGGCAGTGCTAGCAGCATGCGGAAGATGAATTTTGTTGTTCGACCTGTTCAGTTCAGGTGCGTAGATTCGGCACGTAATTATATTGAGTTCTTTTTCACTGAGTCGTCACATACAATTAGAATAATATGCCGAATTCAATTTTCCAACTAAATGAAAAATGCTTTGCTGCCTGCCCCCTAGACGCTGTTGCTGCTGATGACGTTGACAACTTTTCTGTCGCTACACCCTTGAGCAGCGCTGTAGATTCTAATTGGAAACATAATCAAAACAACGAAATGTCTGCCAGCGACTGGTTTAGTCAACAATACAACAATAATCACAGCAACAGCATGCTTATGTTAAACACGCGATTGTCGGTAAAACCTTTACATGCAAATGTGAATATGTATGCTTCATCTGTTCGTTGCAATAAAATATTTAGCAAATTTAATTAAAAGCAAAAGCGGTCAAGTGACAGTCCCCACAGCTGTCAACCAAAACTAAACTGCACAGTACGCAAGACACCCGCTGTTGGCATATCCAATGAGAATCTAAATGAGCGAATGATCGAAATTCTCTCTCACTGACATCAGCTCTCTTTTGCTCTAGCCATCTCTTCTTTAGTGGCAATGCTGTCAGATTGTTCAGCTCAGCAGCTGCAGCTGTAATAATTATTTCGTTTAATTAACAGCAGCCAACAAAAGCAGAAAGAACTAAAACGTTCCGTTTTATATGTTTATGACTGCAAGTTTTGTGTATGCCAGAGTTAGGATTTTGAAAAATTTTATACACTGCTGGTAACACCGTTTGACAGTCTTACGTGCTGTCAAAGCTGTGCTCAGAACGTGGTGCAGGTGTCAGACAGAGCCAACTATATGCCTCGATCAACAATTTCAATTATGATCGGCGGACTAGTTGTCTCCTTTTGGCTCATCAGGTATTTATTCGAACTGGGATGTAAACATCTCAAGCGAAAAGTAACAGCAACACTAGCGACAGTGACGCCAGCGTCGACGCTGGCAGCATGATTAGTCAACTGGAATGGTTGCTGAGAGCAACAGCAACAATAACAACACAACAATGACCAAAGCAAATGAGGCAGGCAGCAGCAGCGATAGTCGCGTTCTGAGCAGCGCTTAAAATGAAAGAAAAAAACATTGGACGCGACACAGGGAAAACAATATACGAGAAATAAAGGCTTAATTCGCTTAAATTAAGCAGCGCAGTGTTTAATTAGCTTTAATCAAACCACAAAACTAGAGGGTCCGCGCCATAGCCCACCCGGGCACACAAGGCTCCATCACTCGCCATCACTAGCACGAGTACGCCAGCACAACATGCAGTGTGGACACCGCCCAATTGCCAGCGTTTATGGCCCAAAGCAGCACGTCGCAGCGGTTTACCTCGTGGCAATTTGTTTGTTGTTTAGTTTTATTTGCGTATCCGTGCAGGAATCGCAGAATATTCCGGAGGAGGAGCCCGTCTACTATTACGTTGGCTGCTATACTGCTCGAACAGATCTGCTCAAGGAATCGGTCTACGCAAAGACGCCTCAAACGTGCATTGAGATATGTGAGCACCAGGGCCACAGGTACGCTGTCCTGGCTGCCGAAAAGTGCTTCTGTGCCAATCGTCTGGAGCCTCATGAAAAGCAGGACGATCAGCTGTGCCACACGCGATGCCTGGCCAATAAGGCGCAGTATTGCGGAGGCGTAGGTGTACATTCCTACTATTCCACGACGTTGCTAAGGCAACCGGCGCCACATCATCTACGGATGGTCAACAGCACTGAGAACAGCATAAGCCTCGCGTGGGACGCCTATGAGCCCAACAAGCTATTGCTAGCTGGCGGTGCCGAGGCTCTCGCGCCACAAACTCAGCAAATTTCCAACATTCTGATCAAATGTCAGGTTGTTCAGACCTACTCAACGCTTCCCGCATTTCTGCAGCCCGAGTTTATAGTGCAGAGCACAGAGACCCGCTTTGAGCTAACTGATCTCCATCCCGCGACTCTTTACAATATTAGTGTTCGCGCCATTTGCGCACAACAACAAGAAGAAAGCGAATGCGGCCATGCTACACTAATGGCCAGCACAGAGGTGGGCTTACCAAGTCCAGCGCCCGCACAGCCCAAGATTCTCAGCCGGACTAAAAACAGCATGACCGTGGAGTTGGCGCCCGTACACAACGACAATGGTCCGGTTTCGAAGCTTCTTATTGTTGTCGAGTTTGTTGACGATTCACTGAGCCAGCCGTTTGATGAACAGCTGTTGGGTGGCTGGCAGGATGCGCAGCAAAATGGAGTTCCCTACTATATAGCCGCAGAGCTGAACTACGATCGACCAGAGGACAACCGCACTAGGCACTTTGTTGTAGGGGATGGCAAACGCTATGGACGCTATCGCAATGTGCCTCTGGAGCAGCTATCAGAGGAGCAGGACCAGCTTTCCCATGTTCACATTAGCTTGGGCGTGGTAAGTAATAAACAAACTAAAATAAAATGAAAACAGTCTTATCGTTAAGTCGGTGCCTGGTTACTACTAATCCTGGCTTCTCTCCCATAGGTAAGCACACTGCGAAACGTCACAAAGACACTGTACACGCGCAGCAGTCACGCACAACATGCCAGCTCTCTGGACGATTTCAGCTATGCAACATTTGAGAAGGGTCAGTCGTCAGTGGTGGCTTTGGCTGTAACCTGTGTGATCTTCGGCAGCTGCCTGTTGCTTAGCCTCATCACATACTTTTATTTGCGCTACAAGACCTGTCACGCGCGCGGATTGATTGGACGTGGACGCAACGCGCACGAGATGACGCAGCAGACGCCCATCATTGAGCGCGAGAACAACGGATATCTTGTGGAGGACGAGCAGCCGGCTTCGCTAGAGAGCTTCAAGCAGCAGCTACACTCGACGCTTGAGGGACTGGAGCGTCTGCCGCGCAATGGACTGCGCCTCAATGCAAACGATGTTATTGGCGAAGGGCGTTACGGAGAGATCATCACAGGACGGCTCAACGTGGCTGAAACCGTTAAGGAATGTGCGCTCCATGTTTTATCACTGAACGATCTGAGCGGTGGCAGGCAGGCGCAGCTGTTGCGTGAGTTGCGGCAGCTAAGACAAATGCGCCACCACGAGCTGCTCCTAGACTTTTATGGCATTTCGGCCAGCGCGGACTGGTTCTATCTGGTTTTTGAGCTGCAGCGTGTCAGTCTTAAGCGACGATTGATCGAGAGCCGTCAGGCAGCGCCAGCGCCGCGTCTAACTGTGCTAACTGAGCAACTGGTGTTACAGTGGATGTATGAGCTGTCAAGCGCAATGTCGTATCTGGGAAGCTGTCAGGTATTGCACCGGCAGCTGTCCAGCTACAGTGTGTACGTTAGCGCCGACTCCAAGCTCAAGGTATGCCTTCTCGGACCACTGCACTATGTGAACAGTAATAGTCAGGCGCTAGATCTGGGCCGCTGGCTGCCACCCGAGGTGTTGCGTCACCAGCACTTCACAACAAAATCTGTTGTGTGGTCCTTCGCCTGCGTTGCTTGGGAGTGCTGCGCCCTGGGCGGCACGCCTTATGCAAACGTTGCCAGCAGCCAGCAATTGCTAGAGGCGATACGCTCTGGCGTGCGCCCGGCGCAGCCCGCCTATGTCTATGGCGATCTTTACCAGCTGCTGCTTAACTGCTGGCAGCTTGAGCCCAGCGAGCGCATTGGCTTTGAAGATGTGGCCTTTGGCGTGCGTCAGCTGATGACCTCTGCTCGGCATGCGCTGTGCTTTGATCGCTCCGCTGTGGACACCATGGAGACCCTGCCACTGTATCTGCCGATTCTTGAGATAAGCAACTAATGTAGCCAGGGGACAGAGAGGAGGCAACAAGAACACGTGGAAAATGAAAGCAGTTGTGAATATCCAAAAGCAAGTTTGATTTTATATACCCTAACGTTTGAAACACATTTGAATGATTGATAAACGTTGCTATTGGTGGCTTATGGCTTTCAAAATCTGCGCCATTCAAAGCTTTCGTAAATGTATTAACAACTGCATGTGTTTTAATCAAAGATTTATAATGGATACACCGAGAAAATATGTTTGTTATTTGTAAAATTCTACCAAGCTCATGCACTTTGCTATTTTCTATACATAATCATTAATTTCAGCATAACTCAAGTTTATCGAATGTTCTCGAGAGAAAGTAAGAGCGTGTAATCTCTTTCACCCTGCGAGTCTGAAATCCCTTTTCAAACCCAAAAACATACCTTCAATAGACCGAAACTAACGGCTGTGATCGAATGGATACTCGACCGACACAAATGAAAAACACAAGTACAGAGAGAAATGGGAAGAGAGTAATATATAAATATATATAGAGAGGGAGAGAGACAGAGAGAGAGCAAGTGAGCAAAGGTATGAGCACAATTAATGCATATGAAATAAAAAATATAAATAGGTAGCCCATGTAGAAATTCACGATTAATCAGTTTAAAGGTCGCACGACTAGGGGGTCGGACGCTTGCATACAAAATGCAAACGTTGAAATAGGTAATTGGGCAAATAGCAAAAAATAATCGCAGAGGAACAATAAGAATAACAAAACAAATATCAATGCTTTAGAGGATACTCAGTTCAAATACTTATGTGACAGCAGCAGATTCTTTATGATTATACTCTTGTTGAGGGTTTTATAGATATGTCATGAAATGTGTAACGTATATATATATTTATATATATTGATACATGTTAATTATGTTTATGTATGAGAAAAATAGTTTGTTTTAAAGATATCTTAGCCAAATTTTACCATGCCCCTTAAGTATGGCCTATCATACAGTTCTGTTGGAACCAGCAATTGTGAGTACCATAGAAGTGTATTTAATTTTCGGCTTTCCCAAGACCTACTCTATATTAAAATGTTTAGGTGAAACAGATATCATGCCAAAATATTACATATTCAATATTGGGCTATTCAGATTCTGATTAATATCGATAGTATATAATATTACATACGGCTGTTACAAGAAACTTGTATAGCTTACGATAACCAATTTGCAGGGTATACAAAATAATAAATTAGTCATCGATGCAAGTGAGAGGCTCCTCTAAGAGCTAATTTTCTTTGGAACTTGTGGGCACATCGGAAACCGCTGACAATATCTGCGTACAAATGTGTGTACACACGTATGTACATATGTGCGTGCAATGTATAAAACATCCAATTGGAAACACAGTGCTAATCTGGCTAGCACAGGAGTCTTGGTTTGTGAACAGCTGATAAGCCAGCCAATTGCGTATAAAACAAAAATGACCAAAAGACAAAGCACATGTTTGATATGGCTGAAATTTATTAGAAGTGTAATGAAACGCAACGATCCAAAGTTGCAAAAACAGCAATAACATCAAATGTACATATATAAATATGCATGCATGTATGTATGTATATATGTACATACATATAAACAAAAGCTTCACCATTTT